GTTAATTTTGAGGGTTAGGCCAAACAAAGAAGGGGAACTTTTGAAACCCTAATTTTTTTTATTTAAATAGATTTGGCGACAAAAACCATGAGATCAGCATATTCTTTGATCTTGTAGATGATGAAATCTAAAGATTTGCTCCTGCAGAACTAATAGGCAGTGTTTTCTTGAGATAATTAGGCAATAAGATTTTGTACCTGTCACGATACATAAAAACTCATTGCATAATTGTCAACACGCCAACCAGTTCCACCTATGTCAAAGAAAACTCGTTGAGTTGTTTGCCTAATCATCAAAGTGAATGGCCAGCTCATAAAAAATGGTCCAGCTGTGTGCCACATCACTCAGTGGATCCCACTCAGATGCAGATCTCTGTTATTTTCAAATGGTTTGATGATGGTAGCAATTTATTTAACACCTTCCTAAAGTATAAGGTGGAGATGTGTCTATATTGGGTTGAGGGGCTTATTTAACACCACTTGGCAAGTTTGAGGGTTAATTTGCATGATTCGCCTAAAACTATCATAGCAATTAAAGCTCCCAAACTTGCTCTATTCTATTAGGCCATTTACCAATAAATGATAAATTAGCTAGGCTTTATTACTGAAAGTGAGTTTGACTTTTTGCAAACTCAGACCACCCATAATTTGGGCCTTGAATTTAAACACGTTCTTTTAATCTGTAACATTTCACATTTTATCCAAGGAAAAAAAAAAAAAAAGACTTTCAACCTTCTCTTTTAATGATTAAATTAATTTTATTTGAATAGAGTGGGTTTATTTGTTATCATCCTTTAGTTGTTGCACCTCCAATGATGTTCTTTTTATTTGTTTGTACAGTGTTCTCTACTCCTATATTCCATGGTGGGAGTTAGAAAGGAAATTGTCATTGTTAAAGCTAAAAGCAAGCTGCCATTAAGTCAAATAGGTGCAAAATTTAGACCAGGTACCAGTTAGGGTAATTAAATCAAAGATCATTTCTTTAATTTTAAATTAATATTTATTATATATTTTCAACAAAATTTATTCATTTCAAAAGTACAAGCACATATGGCATCTATTTCCAGTAAAACTTTAGGCTCCATTTAAAAAACTAAAATTTTAAACTGATTGATAAAGGTTTTTTTTTTTTTTTAAGTCATGTGAATATAACCCATTAAGGGAATTTTTATTTGGACCAATGTTCTAATGGTAAGAAAAAATGATTGGGAATAAAAGAAAAAAGATTTAGTTTGACTCCAACAAATTTGCATTTTCTGAGAGGATTCTAAATGATTAAAGAAAATATAGTTTCAAGTGGTTTCTTGGGTGGCATTGTCGACCTGTTGAGGTAAGCATCATTCAAATGAATAGCTCACTGTTGTTGAACTTTTTTTTCTTTGTTTATGTATCACTGATAAGTTAACATATTAGAAATTTTAATGTTATCTCAGATTGTTGAATCTGCACATGGGTTTCCTTATGGCATCGTTGACCTATTGAGGTAAGTGCCAATTTTCTACCCATAGTGTTAAAAAAACTGCATGTTATAGTGATTTATTCACATAATTCATTTCAATAACTTCCAACTGAATAGATATTACATTTATCTTCTAGGAGTTTTGCAAATTCGCTTATAGCTCTGGAATTTGTTTCCATTTTTTACAAGGAAAAAAAAAGACTTTCAACCTTCTCTTTTAATTTGTATCATTTTCTTCCTCTTAACTTTCTTTTTCTATAGTTTCTCATCCTGATTCTAACTCTATTTCTACATTCTCATCTCGATCAAAATCAAAGGGGAAATAAAAAAAATCAGTGGGAAAACTAATTGTGTACTGCATGCTCGATTTCTAGGCAAGGCGGAGGTGGTGGCGGTAGTGGCAATTAGCTCCTCTGGCCGATGGTGTGATTTGGAGCTGTCAGATCTACAAGAATGCGAAGGAATGCAGACTGTAAACCAAAGGAAAACCAAATAGAGAAACATAAGAAAATCTACCAAGAAAGCTGCAAAATTACCTTTAATGGCATGGGGATTTCGAAACCAAGACGCAAATGGGTCAGCTACTCAGGGCAGCATGAACGACAAAAGCTAAGCTCACTAGAGAAGAAAGCAAATCAAGAGGAAAAATAGAAGAAAATGGGGAAAGCAAGGAAGGGGGAGGTATAACCCAAGCATAATCGACAACCAAAGTTGACGATTATACTAAAAAAAAAGGAGTCGTTTCTATCTTTAACCATCAACATTTCTGCTGAATGTAATAAAAACATAACCGACAGAAAAAAGTTGCCAATTATATATAATCGACAGCTAATTTCTGTTGAATATCTATATATTATTGGCAGAAATCCTGCCGATTATAAGTACAACTGGCAACTAATTATAATCGGCAGCCATTTTGTCGATAATGGAAATATAATTGACAAATTGGTTGTCAATAATGGAAATCATACATTTCATTCTCACTGCTCAACAAAGCTCCTGTCAATCCCTTTTAATAAAAATTATTTATTTTTTCTCTCAAAATCATAGTTATTTTTATTTTTAAATTTATTTTAAAATAATAATTATTATTATTATTATTTTGTATTTAGTTTTGTAAATATTTTTTATTTTAATCAGATTATTATATTTATTCATTTACATTACAATAATCATTTTATTATAAATTTTTTTAACTTATATTATATTTATTTTTTAAAATAAATACAATAAATAAATAAATTAATTATTATTGAATTTTAATTTAAAAAATAAAAAGATAAAAAAAATTATTTTAAAAATAGAGACAAAAATGTTTCTTATAATGCCAATTGAAAAGTACTTGACTTGTAACTGATTCAATTCCACGTTCCATAAATTGGAATGAGATTAAAGAAATTTACAAAATAAGAAAATAATGAAAAATATAAATATCATTACATAATTAAATATATATAAATAACTATAAATATATCAAATATATATTTATAAGTAAATAGATGTAAATATATATATTAATATAACTTCACTATAAATATCAATATAAATAATTATAAATGTATATTGATATAAATATACATATAAAACAGTCTATAATTTATTAACTTATAACAAAAAAAATATAAAAAGTCCTTCATCCCTTGTTCAATTAATTAATAAAATCAAATAAGATACATTTAGTCACTATCATGGTTGTAAAAATCGCGAGTAAAATCATAAGATACATATGCAGTTCGTGTAAAATCGAAGTCAAAATCGAAATTCCATAAACTCGGGATAGTAAAATCATAAAATCGTAGTAAAATCATAAAATCGTAGTAAAATCATAAAATCGGATAAAATCAAGATTTTACAAATTTAAAAGGTTTTATGAATTTTTTTGTCATCATCTCACAAACAACCACCACTAGTGCATTGGTGGAGTAGTGCTTGTAAGACTATTTATAGATTGGTGGTGCTGGTTTGAATCTTGTCCATTGTAATTTGATATTTTTGAGTTTTCAAGTAAAAATTTTAAAGTTTTATCAATTATTTATATGTTAAAGTAACAATATTTTATTATAATATTTTTTTGAGGTCAAAATTATTAAAATTTAAAATAATTTAATAACCATAAAATAGAAAAATGTACAAAAAAGATTTCAAATAATTAATTAGTAATAAAACTTCTTAGATAAATTTTAAATTTAAATATTTGATGTTTAATTTTAGTAATATATAAATTTCAAATTAATTTAATAAACTCTCGATTTTACGATTCCGATTTTACCTCACCAAAATGATTTTACCTAAACTCTCGATTTTGACAACCTTGGTCACTATCACTCTTGGTTATATAATTTCGAACTTCTTCTTCCAATGTTTTCATTTCATCAAATTCTTCCTCTTGATCATCATCTTGACTCACACATTCTTCCTCTGCCACTAGCAAAACATGATCATTTAAAATAGTCGAGGGTTGCACCAATTATGGCATAAGAGGATCATTGTCTTGATAATAATCATTTCCACCATTGCTTAACGATGAAAATTTTTTTTTTTTCTCTGAGAATGGGATATTGGGTTGCCTTTTTTTGGTCAAATGTTTTGACCAAAATAGGTAGCTAAGTCTTCTACTTATTGCTCTGGTTCTTGCTTTTTTATGTTTCCTCTTCTTTTTTACTTAATTTGTTTCTAACTTTTGATCTAGAATTTATAAGTAATATTATATAAAATTTCTACCAATTAATTAGCTCTATATTCTAAACATATATAAAAACATATAATTTAAACACATAAATATAAAAGATAACCTACTATCATAATTAAAGTATCATGACATAGAATACACATTAAAGCACTATGTCCTAATCTTATACATGGATAACGGAAATTAGAAAATATATTACAGAATATAGGTAAGTAAGGTAAAAATACTACGGTTCTTAAATAGAACGTAATTTTTTACATGCCTCATCCAAAGACCATTTTTGTAAATGTAAGAAGCTAAAGACCATTACCAAAAATCTTCGTAATAGTTTTAGAGGACACAGTAGGTGTTATGGATGGGTTTGACGCAATTTTTGATTGGTAACGATTTGGGCAAACTTTTGCAGTATGACCCTCATGGTTACACAATTGACAAGTTATTTTATATTGTTGCAGGCATGTAGTAGCTAAATGTCCAGGAATATCACATATTTGACAGACAAAGTTGTCTTCATTTTTAGGCAATGGAATGTCTTGGGGCATTGCGATATGATTCCTTGATGTTGTTAAGTTTTTCCTTGGAAGACTCCTAAATGGACGATCCCATAATGATTCAGGAGTATCCTTAACAATTCCTATGTAAATTAACATAAAATTAAGTAATATGTTAGTAAATGGTATGTCACGCCTCAAAATCCAAATCTGGGGACGTGACAGACGCCGTACACTTGTGAGAAGGTCCCACAAATGCCCAAGGTTCGGAACTTATCATACCACAATCTAATACCACAAAATCTGAAGATAAAATTTTAAAATTTGCCATGATATCATAAAATCTCCAAATAAGGTCTAGCTTACAAGATCATGATTTATATCTAAAATCCATGTTCAATTTACAAGATGGCTAGCCTTCTAACTCGTCACTCCCCTCGTTTTTCCCCGTCCTTGACTTCGCTTCCTAAAATGGTGGACAAGGAAAAATTATGAGATAACTTAGTAAGTAAATATGGATAGCCCTTGGGTAAAATTTTTAGCATGCCTGATAAACAGTTTAACATAACAAAACGTTCAATGATAAACCGTTAATACAAAATCAAATTCAGTTCAATAGCAAAGCGTTCAATGACAAACCATTAATGTAGAAGAAAATTCAGTAGTAGTCTCATCTATAAGTAATGGCCAGCGTTTATAAACCTCCCACTGGTGGGCACAGTAGTAACTAATGTTTTATCCCATTAGTAGGATTTCAATAATAACCAATGTATTATCCCATTGGCAGGATTACAGAATGAACTGGTCCTATCAGTAAACATGTCGACATGTGCTAGTGTTTATAAACCTCTCACTAGCGGGCACAGTAATCATGACTATATCAGAGACAAAACCATGTAGGATTTACAAAAAAATCCGTAATTCACAATCAATCTCAAATTTTTGTGTGAGCATGGATTTAACAGAAAAATTCAACATTTACAAAATTCTCAGTTCATCAAGGTAGTTCAATCAATTCCAAGTAGGCATATGCTCTACTCAATGCGAATGATCAAGGTAGTTCAATCAATTCCAAGTAGGCATGCTTTACTCAATGCGAATGAAAACAATTTCATTTCAAACCAATTATGCTCGTTGCTAATAAAATCAATTTAAACCTTGCCACCATCTCAAAAACAATTTAAAACATGCTCTGAAATCGAATGGCGTTACCATAATTTACTTACCTTAAATCGCACAGAACAAAAAGCTTAACCCAAGTGCTAGGGTGACAAAATGATCAAAACCTAATCACAATATTCCAGAATTAATAATCATATAACCAGACATCTCAATTTTATTCTCAATATAAACTAAATATTTAAACCCTCCTATTGCTGCCCATTAGTGTGTGAACAGTACTGTGAACAGTAATTACGCAGTGAACAGTAACTGCAACTTCCAGAAATTGGCAAAACCATAGCTAATCTCACGGGATTTCTCTCCAAAATCTCACAACAGTCAATTAACACTAAATCACATAATTTCCACTTGAATTAATGCTTAAATTTTGTCCTAAAGCTACCGGAATTCCTCCCCCATTTTAGCGAAAATTCGGACAACCTAGGGCAGCAATTAACTAATAAAAATCCAAACTTAAGGAAGCTATCATCTTATCGAAATTTTTTGGCAAGCAGAACCAGATCTGGCGGTATGGCAGGGACGGGATTTGCAGAGACCTAACACGAAATTGACAGAAATAAAAGCAAGTAGAGTGAACCCAAGCCAATTTAGAGCTGAAGAGAGGAATTGGTGGCTGTTTTCTTACCAGAAACCTGAGCAAATCACCCCCACACAATAGAGCAGCAGACGGAAGAAACAGAGCAGAGCAGATCCGAGATTTTTCTATAGTGGGGGGGAGATTTCTGGGTTCTATATGTGTTCTAGAACAAGAAAGGAGGGAAAAATCATCAAGCTTTACCGGTTTTCAAGAGGGGGGGCTGTCGACTTGGCTGGGTTTCCTTGCTTGTTGTAGGGAAGAAGAAGAAAAAGAGCAAAACACGCGGATAAGGAAGAAGAAAGAGAAAAAAAATCCCAGCCGATCGTTATCCAAATTTCTTTCTTCTTTTAAGTCCCTCAAGTTTATAAATATTCACTCTTAGGCCCCAACAATATTTTTTTCCAAAATAAGTCCCTAACTTAAATGATAAAATTACCGAAAATTTGGGATATTACATGGTATGCACCAACATGAAATAAAAAATTATGGGAAGGAAAAGGAAGAAGAAATTATGCCATCATATTGTGCTTTTGTCAACTTCTTCTTTGGAGGGCTCCGAGATGGATAATTCCATAATGATTTAGGAGTATCATCAACAATTCCTATATAAATTAACATAAATTAAATAATATGTTTGTAAATGGTATGCACCAACATGAAATAAAAAATTATGGGAGGGAAAAGGAAAAAGAAATTATACCATTATATTGGCTGTCAAAATAGGGTTGACTGTCCATTTAACTGTCAAAGTAGGGTTGATTGTACATTTGGCTGTCAAATTTGGTTAACTGTCCATTTAGCTGTCAAAGTACAATTGTCTATCCATTTTGCTCTCAAAGTAATCTTGATTGTCTATTTTGCTCTAAAAATAATCTTTACTATCCATTTAACACATAATAATTTTATAATCAATTAATTAATTTAATTAATCATAGTTTACTTAGCAAGTAAATATGTAATTATGATTTAATTAATCAATCAATTATAATCATTATAATTAATTATGGTTTAACTAATAATGTAATTAATTATAATGTACTTCACAGTTAAAGCATATAATCATAATTCTCTAATCAATCAATTAATTGATTAAAAAATCAATATTTATCAATCAAGCAAATAATGAAATCATAATTTTATAATGAATTTGATATATAAAAATTTAATCTAAATATCATTTTAGTTCAATAGTAATGCACATCTCAATCTCAATCTCAATATCAATATCTCAAATCAAGCTAATTTGAAATAAATAACAAATTTACAACCATAAAAACTCAACATAAATATCACTCTACTTCAATAACCATAGATATTTAAACATCAATCTCAATATCAATCTCAACCTTAATCTCAAATACAATAATCCAAAATTCCTAACTTTGTACATACAAATTTACTAAAAACAACTCTTCAACTAAGTACAAATCTCAATCTCAAAAACTTGAAAAAAATAATTGCAATTCACTGACAATTCATGCAATAGTAGCAATAATTTACACTAATCTACAAATAAAACAGTATATTTATGTATAAAAAAACCACAAAAATCCCAATTACCTCTGTAGTGGGGACGTTGATGCTGTGGGGCCAGTAAAAGCTGGATTTCAACCTACAAAAAATGAAAATTGGGGTATTGTAAACCCAAATCCAAGGAAAAAACAAGTAAAACCAACAACAACAAAAAACAGAAAAAAAAAAAAAAAACTGTGTTGCAACTTACAAGGAACCTCCTCCAAGTGGCGTGGTGGCTTAGAGGAGTTGGAGGCTGGACCAAAAGGCACGAATCAACAAGGAACAATGCAAATGTGCCGACTGTAAATCCAAGGAAAATAAAAGAAAAAATAAATCAATCAATCGACCAGGAGAGGGGCAAACTCACCGGCACTAGCGTAGAGTGGAGATTTTGACAATAGAGGGTGCGACAGAAGAACAGCGATAGCAAGCTTTGTCGGAGAAGAAACCAAATCTACCACCGTACAAGGAGAAGCAAAAATGGGGAAGAAAGAAGAATCAGGGGTGATATGAACTAGTATATTCGGCAGCCAAAGCTGCCGAATATACAGAGGAAATGATGTCATTCCCTAACATAATAGAGAGCACTTCTACATATTTGACAGCCTCTTTGTGTCGAATAAACATATTCGTCAAAAATATTTCTATCAAATATGTAGATATATTCAACAGAAAGGTTGCCGAATATAAATGTTGTCAATTAAGCACCAAGTTTCCATTATCATCGTCAATTTTACATATTCATCAATCTTTCTGTCGATTATGTTTACATTTTCATCAGAAACTTGGCTGTCGAATATAATCTTGTCAAATATGCTACGTTTTCTAATAGTGTGTGTTCTACCTAGGAGTAGAAAGGAGGTGGTGTTTAGGACTTACATGCAATGGATTCAAATATTTTAAATAAAAAAATGTAGTGCAATTTGGATTGTATCAGATTGTATTACATATATTAGAGGTCCCAATCTCTATCTAATGGTTTTTATTTTACAATTTGTTGTAGTTTGGACAATTAAATATGGTTCCTATTTTAATATGGAAAATATAAGTAGTTATCTTATTAATGAAAGAGGGATTCCTTTTAAAAAAACATTAAAAGAGGATTAAATTTAATAGAAGTTAAAATACATGTGTTTAAAATACTCACCTCAAATACAAATACGTATTAGGTTGTATTTGGAAATGTGTATTTGTATTTGATATATTTTAAATATATGTATTTAAAATATGTATATTTCAAAAGTAGAGATTTACTTGTAACTTTTAATAATTTAGATTTATTATAACTTTTTAAATAAAATAATAATAATTATTTTTAATAAAAATTTAAAAATAAATAAATCTCAACCAAAGTGGAGAAATGAATGGTTAGATCTTGTATATGTATGATATGTAAAACTTTTATGGAAATAAATTTTTAATTATCTTTTAAATACACATTTTAAAATACATCGCAATCGCAATAGATAAAGAAAAATGAATTTCATATGCATGTATTTCTAAATATATTTTCAAATATATTGTTTTGGATATATTAAAATATTGTGTATTTGAGATTAGTTTACTATTAAATTAAATCTTCATCTAGTCATTATTATTTAAATTGAATCCCTATTTCATTATTAAGAATATTATTTGTCATAATCTGATTTTTATCCTGTATTTTTAATAAAATTTTCGAATTTAATAAAAAATAAGAAAATATAAGAATAATAAAATTTAAGGAAAAATCAGGAATTTAATAAATGTTAAAAATTATAAATTTCAAATAAAATTGAAAAAGAAATAATAAAAATAAAGTAGAAAATGATGAATAATCTCTGAATACTAGCTAATTGAATGCTCCATACGGAAATGCATAAAGGCAGCATGGTGATTAAGAGTAGCGAGGCGGCATTGCAGGGTTCGACGGTGGACGTCGATCACGGAGGCTGCAAGTTTGAGACACGCAACTAGTATGAACATTAACTCGATCACCCATCCCACATCACCGAATCCCTAGAAGAGAGGGGTTTTGGTGCAAATGGGTCAAGAGATCTCGGAAAGAGAGAGAAGATCTGAGCCAGAAAAAGAAGAAAGGAACCTTGATTTGAGATTATCCAATTGTAAACAACGGAGCCCGGTCGGAGATTTTGATGAGCATGCACCTGGTTTTGTTTGGTGAGTTGCTCTACCATGAAGAAATAAAGACCTTCGGCCATTACCATTGCTTCGCAGGATTTCTACTGCCCTGGTTGGTGATGGCTATTGCTTCAAGCGTCAAGTTGTGAAAAGGGAAAAGAAGGCCAAAGTTGCTTCTGCTCCATGGCTTTGCTCTCCCAAAAAAACAAAATCAATTCATAAAAGTGCAAGGCAAAATTTGGATAAAGGCTGAGAAAAGGTGTAAATAAGTTGATCAACTTTATATTTTTGTCTACTTGAGAATGTTGACTTAAGTTTTTAAATTAGAATACTAACTTTTAATTATTTCTATTTAAAAATGTCAACTTTTAACCTTTTCTATTTAAAAATATTAACTTTTAATGTTTTCTATTTAAAGATTAATTAGATGATAATACTAAGGTAGCAAATTGATTTTTTAATTAAAATATTGAAAGTTGATATCCTTAAATAGAAAAAAATTAAAATATTTTTACATAAAAA